TTTAAAGAGTTAGATTATATTTTTTTTTGTTTAAACACTTGCACTGTAATGCTAACAATTCTACTACATATTCTAATGGGAAGTGTCTCCTAAATCTCCTAAATGTTTAACCAAGTCATGTTCAAGTTCAACCTTTGCCTCAAATCTTAAAGGGGTCATGAACTGCCTTTTTTATTATTATTTTGTACTGTTCTCTGAGGTCCACTTATAATGTTATCAATATTTTTTACATTAAAAAACATCATCATTTTCTGTCCTGTTTTGACTCCCCTCATCGGAACGCTCCGTTTGAATAGGTGTGGCAGATTGTAGACTCGGAAGTAAACGCCCACTGCTATGATTGACTAACAGTTGTATATGTTTGACACACACAAAAATTTGGACGCTGCTAATTAGGTTAAAAACGCATAAATACACAGTACATATCAAACGATCTGTAATAACAGACAAAGCAATAGTGACCACGTAATAAAAACATGTGACATTCCTGTCGGATCCAATAATTCGGCACAGCATCGTCTTTTAGTTTCAATCTTTTTGAAAATCCAGCGTCGAATTGTCCCTTGTTTGTAAACGAATCCGTGGTAAAATGAAGTGAACAAAGGTCTGAGTTCTTACTGACACGGTCTGGAACTTCATTAAAATAAATTTCATACACTCTCCTAATGTTGGAATCAGAAGGAAGGCGATGCAAAGACTGTGTTTTTCCACAACTTGGCACTGAACAGCGTCTTGTTGTCTTCGGAGCATCTTTATCGTTTGATTTCTGCGTAGACCTGCGTTTGCCTCTCTCGTTATTCACACTACATGCGCGAATCAGTGGGCGGGGCTAAACAGGCAGTGATGTAGAAGCAGGTGTTGATCTTTTTCTGCGGAGGTGGCGTTTAGCCACACTATTACATCATAAAGTGGCACATTCCACAACCTGTCGTTTTGGCAGATTGACTTCAATATAGTGCTGGGCGGTATGACCAAAAATTTATATCACGGTATTTTTCAAAATTATACCTGTTTCACGGTACATGACGGTATTTTTTTTTTT